TCACGAGGAACACGACGACTAGTGCGACCAGCGCGAACAGGCGAGGCAGAACGAGACGCAGGCTCACGACGTTCTGTAAGCGAGTCTGTCTGCTCAGTGTAAGGAGAAGGAGCAGGCAGTGGTGCGCCGGGCTGTAACGGGAGGCCAGTGGAAGACGGGAGGCTAAGAACCTTGCGAAGCACGGAGTCAGGCGGTGGCAGAGACGACGGTGACGGCGGAGCGAAAAACAGTCGCGACGGTGCAGTGCCACCAGTACCAGTAGCTCCAGCGCCTCCAGCAGCTCCAGAACCTCCAGCTCCAGCGCCTCCAGCAACAGCACCTCCAGCTCCAGTGACTCCAGTAGCAGCACCTCCATCTCCAGCGCCTCCAGCAGCTCCAGCGCTTCCAGCAGCTCTAGAACCTCCAGCTCCAGCGACTCCAGCAGCAGCACCTCCAGCTCCATCGCCTCCAGCAGCAGCACCTCCAGCTCCAGGGACTCTAGCAGCAGTACCTCCAGCTCCAGCGCCTCCAGCAGCTCTAAAACCTCCAGCTCCAGCGCCACCAGTAGCAGCACCCCCAGAACCGGCACCTCCAGCCTCACGGTCCCCAACTCCAGGGTCGACAGGACCAGCGCCAGGGCCTCTTGCAGCAGCACCCCCAGAACCGGCACCTCCAGCTCCAGGGTCTCCAACGCCAGGGTCGACAGCACCAGCTCCAGGGCCTCCAGCCCCAGTACCTCCAGCAGCAGCACCCCCAAAGCCGACACCTCCATCTCCAGGAGCAGTACCAGTCCCGGCAGCTCTAGTACCTCCAGTACGAGCACCTCGAGGACCAAAGACACCAGCACTCCCAGCGCCTCCACGACAAGCAGCTCCAGCAGCACGACTCCTCAGGCGGGTACGAGACGCAAGCCACTCTCGTGCCGGCTGTGGTGAGACAGGCCCGCATCGTGAAACGAGACCCAGAGGAACGCCAGCAGACTCAGCACCCCCAACTCCAGGGTCGACAGCACCAGCTCCAGAGCCTCCAACCCCAGTACCTCCAGAAGCAGCACCCCCGGAACCGACACCTCCAGCTCCAGGAGCAGCACTAGTCCCGGCAGCTCCAGTACCTCCAGTACGAGCACCTCCAGGACCAGAGACACCAGCACTCCCAGTGCCTCCACGACAAGCAGCTCCAGCAGCACGACTCCTCAGGCGGGTACGCGATGCAAGCCACTCTCGTGCCTGCTGTGGTGAGACAGGCCCGCGTCGTGAAACGAGACGCAGAGGAACGCCAGCAGACTCAGCACCCCCAGCTCCAGGGTCGACAGCACCAGCGCCAGGGCCTCCAGCCCCAGTACCTCCAGCAGCAGCACCTCCGGAACCGACACCTCCAGCTCCAGGAGCAGCACTAGTCTCGGCAGCTCCAGTACCTCCAGTACGAGCACCTCCAGGACCAGAAACACCAGCACTCCCAGCGCCTCCACGACAAGCAGCTCCAGCAGCACGACTCCTCACGCGGGTACGTGATGCAAGCCGCTCTCGTGCCTGCTGTGGTGAGACAGGCACGCGTCGTGAAGCGAGACCCAGAGGAACGCCAGCAGACTCAGCACCCCCAGGCTCCGCACCCCACGGCACCTCACGGACGGGCTCAGCACCCCCAGACTCCGCAGCCGCAGGCTCAGCACCCCCAGGCTCCACACTCCCCAGCACCTCACGTGCAGGCTCAGCACCCTCAGAAGCAGCACCCCCAGCAGCACCTCCCGCAGCAGCACCTGAGTCGCTAGTGACCTCTACAGGCTCAGCCAAGGGGGGCGGGTCTACCTGAGACACACCTGAAGGAGCAGGACCCTGAGGGGGGAGGGGGTCTAACGGAGGGGGACCTGGAGCAAGGAAAAGCGGCGGGGCAGGGAGAGGGGCAGTGCGGTAGGGGAAGAGACGGTAGAAAGGAACCGACTCGTCAAAGGTGACGTCCTGATAGGGGAAGACACGGCGTGAGGTGGGGTCGTAAAACTGCCAGCCAGGCGCGTCAGGGACAAAGCCAAGGACGACACAGGGAATGGTGCGGGAGGAGAGCTTGTCCGCGAACGTATCGCGGACAAGGGCACGAGCACTCCAGACCCGGAAACGCGACGCATTGCCAACCTCCCCCGTCCAACGCAGTGTGGGCGAGGTCTCCGGCAAGGAGACACGGAGCCAGAGGTTGAGCTGCTGCGCGGCGTACCGGACCGCAAACGGCCACAGAAAATGGGGAGCCGCTGCATGAATCAAGGAGGTACGAGCGACCTCCATGACTAAGCCAATGCGGCGCTCAGCAACCCCATTCTTCTGTGGTGAACCCGGAAGCGTGAACGATTGCTCGATGCCCTCCCCCTGACAGAAGGCCCGCAAGAGGTCGGAGATGAACTCACCACCTCTGTTAGAGTGCAGACGCAGGACAGGAAGGTCCTGGCGGAACCTGCGGCGGAGCCGGAGACGAACTGCTCGGATCCAAGGGATCAGGACAGCAGGGACCTCACCCTTGGTGCGCAAGGGAAAGACCGTGGTGTACCGGGAGTAGTCGTCGACAACCAGTAGAAAGTACCGCTCACCGCCCTGTCCACGAACGCGGGCTGGGCCCCACACGTCCAGGTGGAGGGTCTGCAGAGGAGCCTTCTCGGGGGAAACGAGGAGGAGTGAGGAGCGGCGCACTGCCGCCCCTCGACGCAAGGAAGGCAGGGCGGCGCAGGCAAGGCAGGGAGGGGAGGGAGAGACCTGGGAAGACGAGACACAAGGAGGCGACGGTGCATGCCACGTAGACGTGGCAAGGAGGGGTGACCCAGACGGTGGTGCCAGAGAAGAGTCTGGTGCGACAGGGATCGACACTCACAAGGGGAGGCTACCTGACCTGTCGCAGACACCTGACCAGTAGCAGCTACCTGAGGAGGCGCAGTCGTCAGTGTGTAAAGACTCGACCCTGGCCGACGGCTAAACGTGGTCAGGTGGCGGCCGGTCCGGGAGCACGTACAGATCGCCACACGCTGTCCTCCAGAGGTAAAGGTGTCAACCCACTGGTCCTGGAGAACTGCGTTGCTCACCAAGTTCGTAGAGAACGAGGGGAGGTGGAAGCCTGTCAGTGAGCCAGACGGAACCGCCGGGCACGGAAGCACAGTGGTGGACCGTGCAAGAACTGGGCCCACTGAGGGGTCAGCCAGAGAGACTACAACAGGTGCAGTGAGTGGTGTGAGTGCAGTACTGTCACGAAAGAAATAGCGGGAAGCACCTGAGTCAAGCATGAAGGTGTGCAAGGCCTCAGCAGGCGCAGTACCTGAGGAAGCAGACTCGATAGCACCTAAGGCAGCAGCCTCACTAGCACCTAGAGCAGCAACCTCTATACCGGGGTCTTACTACACGCACAGGTGTCAGACATGGCAGTAAGGATGGCGTCATAGTCTAAAGCAAAGGCAGCAACGTCCAACCTAAGCAGCTCAAGCCAGGGGGGGATCTCAGCCTCGTCGCCAAACTCTGTGCGCCAGGCGTTTGTCAAATAGGCGAAGCAGTGGGACTGTGCGTGACCAGGTGTCCCACAGGTCTCACAAGCTCGACGACCTGTACGAATGACGTACGGGCAGCGACCCGGACTCGGAGACGGCCCACGCTGGTAAAGCCACTCACGAAGCTGCCGGGGCGTAAGGGTCGGACGCCGCCGTAGCTGCATCTGGCCACCGCCAGACACTCCGCACCAAACAGTGCCACAGTGACTGCTACTACGGCTGCCACCACTCCCACTGCTGCCACCACCGCCGTCACCACTCCCACCGGTACGACAAAGGGAAGTCATGGCGGGCGAGCTAGGAGGAGCGCGACCTCTAGGGCAGTTCGGAGTGAAGGCAGTAGCACGAGTAGCAGCAGCAGCAGTAAGAGCAGCAGGGCGGCGCGCGGCCAGAGCCAGCTCTGATACCATGTCAAGATAGCAAGCAGGAATGATTGCATTTAATGAAATGTGGGTACAAGTACTAACCCTAACTTCGGGTTGTACCCCATATGGGCTACCCCACTATAGCCTACACAGAACTAACACATATATAGTTTGACAGTTCTCGGCGTTGCCCAAGCGGGGGCGGGGCCAACACCCCAATCCCGTTAACAGCCAAATATGTTACGTCCACCCATGGTGCTCCCCCCCTTCTTCAACCTCCTGCTCCTCACCCCTTCGCTCCGCCCAATCAACCTCGGACTCACCCAGCATGTACGTCGCTCGCAAAAGGATCACCCGAGCCTGCGCCCTCCGCAAAGCTACCCCTACTACTGCTGTCAAGGACCCCAACAAATGTGCTGAGAAACCCGAGCGGTTACCACTTTCCACACCCTTGTTAAGAGCCACCTTTAGATGAACATCTCCCTGCTGCCGTAACCATTGTGAGAAACTTCCACTCAAGCAACCCCAAGTCTCGAGAATCAACAGAAAGAAACGTACCCCATTGTGCTGCTGCAAATAAGGATGATACTCAAAGTGGTAATGTAGCCCAACCTCAGATGTACAAGCCAATACAAATAAAACAAAATACAGTACCATATGTCTACATTTTTTTGCATGTGATTACAACTTCGCCCGTTTTCCTTTAGTGTACTAGGGACCCACATAATCCCCCAGTACCCACCTTTGTAGTCTCCAAACAAAAAAGGCATAAACGGTTCCCTCCATGTAGCTTTAACTATCTCAGTGCAACAGTATGGTTTTAGGTCCTTTAATGCCCGCGAAAGCAGATGCCTGGGAGAGTTTGTAGGTATATCCCGCATAAGCTACACCTGGCCGGCAGCACCAGGCTGGTAACCAGCATAAGCATCCTGAGACGGCTTGTTGTACTGGTTATCCCCTGCGTATGCTCCTGTAGCTTGAGTCGTGTATTCCACCTCCACCTCTGCAGAGAGGGAAGCACACACGAGGGTACAAGGTCAAGGGAGGTGTGAAGGAATGCAAGGGCGAATAATGGAGAGGAGCAACGGGGAGGAATTTCAGGACCCAGACCCTCCATGATGAGTGCGAGCAGCAGAAGCTACAGAGCGCGAGAAAAAGAAGCATTGCTTCACACTGGTGGGCTCTGTTGGCCACTCTGCACATGTTGGCCACTCTGCACATGTTGGCCACTCTGCACATGTTGGCCACTCTGCACATGTTGGCCACCGTGCACATGTTGCCGCAATGAATGACGATAAAGACCCCGACAAGTGAGAGGCCTCTTACAAATGGAGAGGAGAAACTTTTGCTCACGCAGGTGCCTTTCAGGGGCTTACCTTTGGACCTCTTGCCACACTGTATGATGATGAAAACAGCAGCCACGACACCAACGACCAGCAGCAGCACGCCCACCACGATGCCCACAATGGCTCCTGTGGACAACCCCGAGCTGGAGGAGGAAGCATTGGCACTGGCGTTGGCATTGTTGTTGTTGGTGTTGGTGATGGTGGTGGTGGTGATGCTGCTGCCATCGGGGTTGGATGGAGGAGGCTCAACAGGAGGAGGAGGGGGAGGAGGAGGGGAAGGGGAAGACTCGGAGGGAGATGCAGGGATGGGAGGAGAGATTGGAGGCTCGGATGGGGATGCCTCGGAAGGAGATGCCTCGGATGGGGTTGCCTCTGATGGTGCAGCGTCAGATGGTTGGGCAATGGATGGTGGGGCATCGGACGCTGGGGCTGCACACAGAGCAAGAGTATCAGAAACAAAAATGTTGCTATACTTTCCACTCGGAGTATGGAGTACAAGAAAAAAAAAAACAGTATTCAGGTCTCATCACGAGGGATGCAGCATGTGCTGCCCCGGCACCAAGTGTTACCCACCAGGCAGGAGGGATGCAATCGATGCTACTCACCAGGGGCAGGAGGGATGCAGGAGGAGCAGAAGGCAGCACAGGCGGTGCAGAACTCGCTGCTCTCTCTCTGACCCACCACACATGGGGTGCCACTGGCAGGGCAGGCCACGGTGGAGTCGTATATGCTGCATGCAGGGGTGGTGAGAGGGGCCGTTAGAGGGCAGTGGGGGCAGGAGGAGGAGATTGGCAGTGGATGGAAAGATGAAGTAAGGAAGAGCAGTTAAGCGAGGAAGGGGGGATAAAGGGAGGAAGAAACCAAGCAGCACCACCACAAAGTGACTCCCCAATCCCCTCACAGACTGCAAGCAGCGCTATTGCACCCAGAGTGCAAGCAGGGTTAGTGCAGATACAGTGCAAGCAGGGTTAGTGCAGATACAGTGCAAGCAGGGTTAGTGCAGATACAGTGCAAGCAGCGCCATGTCATATGTTCATAGTGGTGCCTTTTGCACATGTACCATATGCTGACATTTGCTCACAAGTTGCCCTTCTTTTCTCTGGTACGTCATCCTACATTCATACACATAGAACAAGTCTGACAACATGCTGTTCTGTGGCAATTGAGTCGACTCGTCTCCCGGCAATTGAGTCGACTCGTCTCCCGGCAATTGAGTCGACTCGTCTCCTGGCAATTGGGGTGTGTTGTGGCACGTTATCTTACAGGTAGAGGAGATTCGGTGCACCAAGGGTGGCGGGAAGCGTGCCAGTCAGCTTGTTCCCCTTGAGCCTTCTGTACAATTGGGCAGAGAAGTATACTCACTGTAAGGTCAATGATGTGGGTGGGAGTATATCTTGAGTGGTATTGACGGCATGTAAAGCAATTATGTGTGTTGGGGTGAGGACATGAGGGCGAGAGAAGCAGAGAAGTATTACAAAAAGTGATATGTGAAAGGACCCTGCTCGCAGCAAGCAGCAGCACTGACAGCAAGCAGCAGCACTGACAGCAAGCAGCAGCACTGACAGGGTATCAAGGTCAGGCAGCAAGCCGAGGCCGGATGGAATAGAGCCTCCCACCCCTGTGTAGTCGAGGTTCCTGTGGGGGGAGGGCCGGCGGTGAGGATGGGGAACATAGGTGCGGAGGTGAGGTGAGGTGCGGTGAGGTGAGGTGAGGTAACTCGCTGGTTCATTTTGAAGGCAGTGGGGGCTTACAGTTCGCGGAGGTTAGTGAGGGCGCTGATGGTGCTGGGAATGGTGCTGCCTGTGAAGTTGTTTTCCTTGAGAGTGCTGCAGGGAATGGGGCGGAGGACGTTCACACATGCTGCTGCAGTGATACTCTGAGACTGTTTATTACATATGTATATATCCGGATTGCAAAAAAAAAAAAAAAAAAATAGACATGATATTCCCATGCACAGGTAAAACTGGATCCATGCACTTTTCATTCCATTGCATCCACACACTCGTATCAGGTGATATCAATTAGACATGATTCCTCCACCAGAGCACTCCTCCCCCTCTCACACCCCACCCTCCCCTCACACGCATCCTCTCCCTTTCACACCCCACCTACGCGCACCCCACCTTCTCTTCTGACTCACAGGTACGCCAGGTTGGGAATGGTGCCGATGCTGTCGGTGAGCGGTCCAATGTTGTTGTAGCTGAGGTCGCTGTGAGACGTGGGAGAATAGAGGCATGGGAGGGAGAGGCATGTGAGTGGGGTATGGGTGCAATTCAACCTCACAAATTAACAAACACAGGTTGTGCTTATAGAAAGACTGGGAAGGAAGCAAGAAGGAAATAAAGGCCCTATAACAGTGGGTGTGCTCACAGCGAGGTGAGGGTGTGCTTACAGCGAGGTGAGGGTGTGCTTACAGCGAGGTGAGGTTCTTGAGTTTGGAGAACGACTCGGGGATGGGACCTGTCAACCCTGCACCCGTAATGTCAGGGTTGTTCACGATGCTCCTGTGCACACACACACACAACGAGGGGCAGATGAACGAGAGGGAGAGAGTGGGTGGGGAGTGGGGATATCGTGAGGCCATTGCCATTCACTCACGCTGATGCTCCTATGCGCACACACAAGGTGGGAGATGAACAAGAGAGGATTGTGATGCCATGCTATTCACTCACGCTGGATGTTTGTAAGAGCCTGCCTGGTGTGGATAATCACCCCTTTCCAGAGTGCACAGTGCATGTATTGAGAAAGTGGTGCTCGCAAAGAGTGATTGTATCAAGAAAGCAATGCTCACATAGACTGACTGTATTGAGAATGCGGTGCTCACAGCTCTTGCAGGCTGGACATGTTGCCAAAGGAGGCCGGGATGCTACTTGATTCCACCTGGTTGAGAACCCTGCAGGGCCGGCAAGAGGGTGGCGGTGATGAGGAGAGAGAGGGGGAGGGGAGATGGGGATGAGGACAGAGAGGGGGAGGGGAGGGGGGGATGAGAAAGAGAGAGGGGAGGGGAGGGGGGGATGAGGACAGAGTAGGGGAGGGGAGGGGGGGATGGGGAGAGTTTTCAGTCGACTCAAAACACTCTGTGATGCTGCCTAACTCCATCTGGTTGAGCACCCTGCAGGGCCGGCAGGAGGGGGGGATGAGAAAGAGAGAGAGGAGGGTAGAGGGGGAGAGGAGGGGGGATGAGAGAATGGGACAAGGGAGGGGGTTGATGAGGGGTGGTGAGCAGCACAGTGTGCGGTGGAGAGGGGCTCACAGCTCTTGCAGGTGGGTCGTACTGCCTATGCTCGCGGGCAGGGTGCCTTTGAGACATCTCAAAAGTCGTCAGTGCGGCGTGTGTGGTGGGGGATGCATGGGTGTGTGGTGGGGGATGTATGGGTGTGTGGTGGGGGATGCATGGGTGTGTGGTGGGGGATGCATGGGTGTGTGGTGGGGGATGTATGGGTGTGTGGTGGGGGATGCATGGGTGTGTGGTGGGGGATGCATGGGTGTGTGGTGGGGGATGCATGGGTGTGTGGTGGGGGATGCATGGGTGTGTGGTGGGGGATGCATGGGTGTGTGGTGGGGGATGCATGGGTGTGTGATGGGGGATGCATGGGTGTGTGGTGGGGGATGCATGGGTGTGTGGTGGGGGATGTATGGGTGTGTGGTGGGGGATGCATGGGTGTGTGGTGGGGGATGCATGGGTGTGTGGTGGGGGATGCATGGGTGTGTGGTAGGGGATGCATGGGTGTGTGGTTGGGGATGCATGGGTGTGTGGAGGAGAGGGGCTCACAGCTTTTGCAGGTTCGTCATGGTGCCCATACTGGCAGGCAAGGTGCCTCCAATGGGGATTAGACCCAGGTCCCTGCGGGTGTGCAGTGGGCAATCAAACACACACACAAACACACACACACACATACACACACACACACACACTCACACACACACACACACACACAGACACACACACACACGCACGCACGCACGCACGCACGCACACACACTCAAACACGCACACACACACACACGCACACACACACACGTACACACACACACACACATGCACACACACACGCATATGCACACACACACACACACACACACATGCACGCACATGAACAATCCCACACACACAACCACACGCACGCATGCACGCACTCATAAACATGCGCACACACATGCTTGCACACATACACACGCATGCATGCACACATACACACACGCGCATGCACACATACACACGATGCATACACATGCACACACACACACACACACACACACACACATGAGTGCACGCACGGGCACCCATGCACACGTACAGGAGCAAATGAGCCTCCTGCCTCGCACAACCAACTGAATTGCAGCCAGCACCTATTGCCTCGCGAGTCACGTTTTCCCTCTCTTCACCCCCATCGCTCACACCAAGGAACGGGGGTGACAACAGGGAGAGTGGGCGACAGCAGGGAGAGTGGGCGACAGGGCGACAGCAGGGGGAGTGGACGACAGCAGGGAGAGTGGGCGACAGGGCGACAGCAGGGAGAGTGGGCGACAGCAGGGAGAGTGGGCGACAGGGCGACAGCAGGGGGAGTGGACGACAGCAGGGAGAGTGGGCGACAGGGCGACAGCAGGGAGAGTGGGCGACAGCAGGGAGAGTGGGCGACAGGGCGACAGCAGGGGGAGTGGACGACAGCAGGGAGAGGCTCACAGGGAGGTAAGTCGTGTGAGGTTGGTGATGACGTCTGGAATGGTGCTGAAGCCCTGTGAAAAGCCCATGGACGAGGCGCTGGTGCGGCACAGGGCGAGGTCGCAGGGCGAGATAGCAGGGCCAAGGCGCAGGGCGAGAGGGCGCAGGGCGAGAGGAGAGGGCGGGGGGAGAGGGCGGGAGGACAGGGCGGGAGGAGAGGGAGATGAAGAACATTGTTTTACAAGGGATGACCAGAAGATGATTATGAGGAGGAGGAGCAGGAGAAGCAGCAGCAGCAGCAGCATTGGGGGGGGGCGGGTGGGGGGGGGGGGCATTGCGGCGTACTGGATGGAAACGATGAAGCCGTCTGCGTCGCACTCGCGCACGACCATCGGCAGCAGCACAAGCACTAACAGTATCAGCACACCACATCACCGTTAGCAGCAACATCCATCACAAAGTAACGTGCCTGGGTTAGGCCTTATTTTGGACCAAAATTGGTGTTGTCAACCTAAATATGACCCTTTTTGGACCTTTTTTAGACACCCTAAGAAGGACCAATTTTTGTGTACTTGGATACACAACTTTTGTCCAAAATTTGGACCAAGTCTGACTGAAGAAATTAAGACCTTTCTAGGTCCATAGTAAGTCCCCTTGTTGTCCAAAATTAGACTAAAATAAGACTGCTGTTGTCCATGTTTTTCAGCATTACGTCCTGCACGTTTTTGTTTATTCACCACCTAGACTTGTTAGCAGTTGAACAATAATGAAAACGCTTGTATTGATAATAATGAGTAACACACAATACAACACACCATAGTTCTGAGACTACGACTAGCATTAGCTTCACAACCATGGTTCTGGTCTTAACACCACAGGCACAGATTCTCTTGTTGCTTCTCCCACCCATAACGACGGCATACCAAAGCTACTGCGACTTCTGCTAGCACTCTCAAGAACCGCACTTGGAACACACATGCAACTCACAGGCTGTTAGACATAAAAAAAAAAAAATCGAAACGGGGAATCAACGAACATAATAACTTACAATACAGCCTGCCAGTATATCATGAAGCCCTGCGAGAACACAGAGGAATGCGCAAGAAATGCAACACAATGGTTGCACCAAAACGGTGCCAGCAGAGTAGATAACCTGCAAGAATGACAACAATGAACGATATATGGGTAGGAGAGTTAGCGCCGACGGTAACATTAAAAAGAAGGGAAACTGGAAAACGAAAGGCAAGAATAACTTGTCACTTGAAGACGTCACGGCAGTCGCGACTGGCGAGGTAAGGAGCCACCGTGAAAACGAAACTGGAAAGAAATTAAAAAAAAAAAAAAAAAAACTGGAAAGAAAACTCGATAATACTACAGCAGTCACGACTGGTGACACAAGAAGGCACAGCGTGATGAGTAACCATGACTGGAGATAAGTGCAGGTAAGGACGACTGAACTGCAGAGGCGATAATCTGAGAAACAAAGAAAGAGGGGAAAGAACAGAATGCAAGAATGAAAATACAATCAAGAGCATGGAGTGAAAGAGAGACGGGAGGGACAGTCGGGGTGGGGAGGGGAAGCTGCTGCGCAGGTGCGTAGGTGCGCAGTGCGCAGTGCGCAGTTGGCAGTTCAGCCAATTGGCAAAGCGCAGTTGGCAGTGCGCATTTCACCCTGCGCAGTTGGCACTTCCAGCAGTTGCGCGGCTGCGCTGGAGCTGCCAACTCCAGCGCAGCTGCGCAAGGTGAACATCAGCTTGATGCCGAGAGCGTTTCGGACATATACAACCAATCACAACAAATCTTATCGTCAAACTGGTTGGCGAAGGTGATTCCACCAATTACATAACACCCCGACGATGACGTGTTTGCACGACAACAAATGTGCTGGAATGACACAGCGGTGGTTGTTACCAAGGAATGTACAGTCCGTTCGATACATTTATACACCGCATGTACAAGGCTCTTTTACCATGGAACCACATTATAGCGCCCATAAGTGTCACAAACTGTCACAAACATACGTGGTTTCATCCATTTGAACCCGATGTCACTAAAAAACGATCCAAAAATTAGCTTACGAAAATTTATGAGACAAATATGATACATTAAATTACGCAATGATCGACTGTGATTAGGACGACAAAAAAATCAGCTCCCTACAAATATGAAACGAAAAGTTAACATAAATTAGGTTACATAATAATTTTATTTTCCAGTCATAATCTGGTGTATGTAACTATAATCTATACAATATTCAATGAGTAGAAAGGAAATGAAAAAAGAAAGGGAGAAGGAATTTGAAACTGCAAAAAAGAACCCAAATGCAACAAGCATAAAAAAACCCCTTCAAGATTGATTGTCCATGCTCCGCGTCGTCGACGTCGACCGATATTGCATGCTAAATGATAAAAAAAAAAAAAAAAAAAAAAAAAACCGGTGGGAGGTTTATTGGACACGTAAATAGCAACATGTATTACAGCGAACATATACATAGTGAATAATCTTCCATAGAGAAGACGGTAGCCTATTAGATTCATGTAAATAATGAGTATCATAACGGCATGATTTGCTTTAATACGAATACAAATATTTTTGTGTAATACATGTGGCAATTGTAGTTAGATTGGACATATAGCTGACCAATTTTGGTCCAAATCTGGACTTATAAAGTGTGGTGTAATATTGGTCAAATTTGTGTCTAAAACTTGTACAGGAAAAACGGGCCGATTTCTGAAATGTAGCGGCTCGACAGAAATCGAGCAAATTTTGACGCGCTTTGGTTGACCATGCCTAATTTCGACCAATCTGGCACGGGTCGTGTCAGAACATTATATAGCTTATGCTGTTGTGTAGGCTATAGTGGGGTATCCCATAGGGGGTACAACCCAATTAGGGTTTTCTATATGTACTCACCTCATTCATAGTTCATTCATCCTCGTTCTTCATTCTTTTCATGGTATCGAGCAGGTTCCCTCGTGGGAACTGTTCCTAGGGCCCACCGTTTTTTTTTTTTCCTGCCCGGAGCGCACTCTGCCCCTACCCGAGTCGCGCTCCCCTCTCTCTTGGCCCCTAGTGGCCCCTTTAGCCGCCCGTCACGGCCCTTAGACGCCCGCGCGCCGCCTGTCCCGGCCCCTTAGACGCCCGCGCGCCGCCCGTCCCGGCCCCTAGACGCCCGTGCGCCACCCGGCCCGACCCCTAGACGCCCGCGCGCCGCCCGTCCCGGCCCCTAGACGCCCGCGCGCCGCCCGTCCCGGCCCCTAGACGCCCGCGCGCCGCCCGTCCCGGCCCCTCGACGCCCGCGCGCCGCCCGTCCCGGCCCCTCGACGCCCTCGCGCCGCCCGTCCCGGCCCCTCGCCGCCCGTGAGCCGCCCGTCCCGGCCCCTAGACGCCCGCGCGCCGCCCGTCCCGGCCCCTAGACGCCCGCGCGCCGCCCGTCCCGGCCCCTCGACGCCCGCGCGCCGCCCGTCCCGGCCCCTAGACGCCCGCGCGCCACCCGGCCCGACCCCTAGACGCCCGCGCGCCGCCCGTCCCGGCCCCTCGACGCCCGCGCGCCGCCCGTCCCGGCCCCTCGACGCCCGCACGCCGCCCGTCCCGGCCCCACGCCGCCCGTGAGCCGCCCGTCCCGGCCGCGCACCGCAGTCCCGGCC